TTTTTCCACAACCAATGTAAGAACAGGCCTTGACAATGCACTTGCATTGTTGTTATCAACATAATCCTTGTTTTCTGATAAATGTGTTTTTGCAGTTGGAGTTTGAAGTGGTTTAAATGTTGTAGAATTAGCTTCTGTTGCTTGTTGGTTTGGTCCAGAAAACAAATAAAACAGTGTTTTTCCTGGGAGCTCTGGAACTATAGAGTCTGCTACTGGTGCCGTTGGGGGCATTTTAGGTACAGTTTGAGGTTGACCACCAAGACTACTGAATTTAGAAAACAAACTTGAACCTGAAGAAGTAGTTTCGTTCTTAGTAGTAGAACTTGCGAGCATGCTGCCAAATAAAGATGACGCAGTAGAAGGACCCTTTGGTGTGGGACCAACCCCATGATGACTTTCAGGGGTCGATTGCTGCTGGACTGTAGATGAGCCAAACATGGAAAATATACCTTTCCCTGGTGGTTCTTTGGGCGGAGGACCTTTGGGTTGAACAGTTCCAATTGATGGACCTTTTGGAACAGAAGGTGATTGGCTACTAGATCCAGCAAACATAGAAAACAAGCTTTTACCCTGAGACTCTTGTGGGGTTGATAATGGGGGACCTTTTAGGTCTCGTGAAGACGATGTATTTGATCCACCAAACATTGAAAGTAACCCAGTGCCAGAAGGGTTTTTTGAAGATGAACTAGGAAGTATGCCTCCAAGGATTGATGATCCACTTTGGGATGCCATGTCCTGTGTGCTGGAGCAAGTCGATACGGAAATAGTGTCTTTAGCATGATGCACAGACTCTTGTTTTTCACCTTTAATGTTTGAACCATTGCCCTGGGAGGTGATTATCTCTGATGAATGTTTAACATAATTGAGATTTGGAGTGTTTACACTAAATTCCATTTTATTTATTTTACGAATATTCTGTGATTCCTCAGATAATTTTATGTTTGATGACTCTTCAATCTGTGAACCTCCATCCAGAGATTGAGCTGTACCTTGCAGAACAACAGCTGGAGATATGTTATTACCGTAGGTGAACTCTTCAAGAGGTTTTGCATCTTTATGCGCGTCTATTTCTGCACTTGTGCTGTCAAGCTGATCAGTTAGAGGCTTTACTACTGCAATTGGTGTACTTACTGTATTATCTGTTACTGCTGAAGTTTTATCAATGGAGAAAACCTCAAGTTGTGAGTCATGGACTTTAATATCATCTGTTGTGGATCTTTTTGTTAAGTGGTTTTCGGAGAACTCTTTGAATTCTTTTGTTCTTATGTTTTTCTTAAAATCTGAATCTTTAGCATTATCTGATAAATCTAATTGTGAAGAGACCATGAACGGTTCTGGTTCAATAATTGGTGCAGTTTCTTTGGTCTCAATTTCTATTGCTCTAGCGTCCTTAATTGGTGCTGGCTGTGAATCACTGTTATCAACTTCTACTGATCTAGATACCTCAATGGGAGTGCTTCCCTCTGACTGACCCACCAATGGATATTGAGGCTTATCAAAACCATGTTCATCTGTGTCTTCTTCTGGTGAACTTGCAGCAGACACAAAAATGTGGGGAAGTCTAACATAAGGCTTTTGCTCTGAATCATCAATGGGTAGGTCTGGACAGTTTATGCCAATATAGACTGGTCTTGGAGGAATTTTCTCATCAGATATATCAGATATGATTTCTTGAGCCATTTTCTGAGATGAGGCTTCACAATGCACAGTGTTTACATTTTCTGCAGATGCAGTATTTGTTTTCTTCATGGCTTGTTGCTGTGTTGAGTGTGATTTAGACA